AGGATTGATTGAGCCCAAGAGACTGAAGTTGCTGTGAGCTATGAGGCCACAGAACTCTACCCTGGGCAGAGTAAGACTGCATTCTACCCCTGCACTCTACCAAGGGCAACAAAGTAAGAAAGGCTCTGTCTCAAAAAAAAAATTAATAAATAAAATTAGGCCAAGGTAGGAGGATCATTTAAGCCCAGGTTTGTTCCCCCCCTTCATCCCCCAGCTGGGGCTGGGTTTGAAACTGCCACCTCTAGCATATAGGGCCGGTGCCCTGCTCCTTTGAATCACAGGCACCGCCCTAAGCCCAGGTTTTTGAGACCAGCCTAAGCAACACAGCAAGACCCCATCTCTGTAAAAAAATAGAAAAATCAGCCGGCAGTGGTGGCGCACACCTGTTGTTCCAGCTACCTAGGAATCTTGAGACAGAGGATTGAGCCCAGGAGTCTGAGATTGTGGTGAACTATGATGATGCCACTGCACTCTGGCCCATGCAAAAGAAAGAGATCCTGTCTCCCCCCCCCAAAAAAAACAAAATTGAAACCAAATATAGCAAATAGTAGATAGACAGTATTTACTGTTCCTAGAGGTAAAAAAATACTGTGAAATGACAAAAATTTACTTCACAATGATGATATAACATAACTATTTCCAGTAACTTTATTTTTCTAGCCAGATTTTTACCAGGAAAGAGTCAGAAAAGAATGTGAACAGGACATCTACTTTGGTCCAGCAAAATCAGATTTGATTTAATGCACAACACTATCAAGAAAAAACCAAATGTTAATGTGCTAGATACTTATACTGAGATCCCTCTAAGATTCATGATTATAAGCCCCTAACTTATGGTAGGGGTGGCAATTACAGACCACTTGGACTTATTATATTATTACTTTAATCCAAGGTGGATTCTCTCATCTTGACATTTCACATATATGACATGGAAAAAATAATGATGAGTCAATCCTTAAGGGACACAGCAGATAATGTCAAGTGTAATAGGAACACTACAA